AACCAGGACTAAAACCAGGTCTAAACCAGGACTAAAACCAGGTCTAAACCAGGACTAAAACCAGGACTAAACCAGATCTAAACCAGGACTAAACCAGGTCTAAACCAGGACTAAAACCAGGACTAAACCAGGACTAAACTAGTTCTAAACCAGGACTAAAACCAGGACTAAACCAGGTCTAAACCAGGACTAAACTAGTTCTAAACCAGGACTAAAACCAGGACTAAACCAGATCTAAACCAAGACTAAAACCAGGACTAAACCAGGTCTAAACCAGGACTAAAACCAGGACTAAACCAGGTCTAAACCAGGACTAAACTAGTTCTAAACCAGGACTAAAACCAGGACTAAACCAGGACTAAAACCAGGACTAAAACCAGGACTAAACTAGGACTAAACCAGGACTAAAGCCAGGACTAAACCAGGTCTAAACCAGGACTAAACCCAGGACTAAAACCAGGACTAAACCAGGTCTAAACCAGGACTAAAACCAGGACTAAACAGTATGACACCTAACATTAGGGTGGACATACTTTAAGGCAGCAGTGATCTCATATAAAAATCATTTCATGTAGTTTTAAAAAGCATGACAAGATCAAGTAATCCAAAGTATTCAGATTACGTTACTCATTTTAAGTAATTTAATGGATTACATTACAAACTACATTTTGGGATATGTAATCTGTAATCTGTAGGGGAATACATTTTAAAAGTCACCTTCCCAACACTGAACTGGACAAAAGTTGATTTGATTTCTCTGCTTCTTCAGTTGTTTACTTGTTTACAGTTTGTGTTTGTTAGTCAGGCCTGTTGAGCTGCACTGACTGTACGATCAGTTCAACAGGCCTAACTAACAAACACAAACTGTAAACAAGTGTGTGTGTTAGTTTCAGAGGAGTTTCAGTGTAGTTAGCTCCTCCCTGCACACAGATATAAGGAAATGTCCACCAGCGTCTGAACACAACTGAACAAACAGCTTGGATGAACTGAGAAACATACTCGACCAAATAAACTTTTGTCCAGCTGACAAATAGAATTTCTTCGTTTGCCATTTGACTTGTGTTTATTTCTCCTGACAGAGAAGACAATGAACTTTGTGCCAGTTTTGTTTTGTGTTTTTTTTTTATAAATTTATTATTATTATAATTTTTTGAAATTCAACATACTCAAATAAACATTCATCAAGACAGGGGACAACCAGGGACGTCAAGAACACACAAACAACACATGATACACAGGACAACATGCAGCAAGCAGTTAAACAAACAAACAAACAAACATATATTCACTTATAATGTAAGTGTATAAATCAAATAACATCAAGTGCAATATAAACGTAGGGAGAGTGATACTGTTATGTAGCATTTTTTGTTTTGGATGAGTTTTATTGTGTGGAAATATTGTTGTATTTGGTTCTTCTAGTTAGCGTGATGAATCTGAATGAAGAAGCAAAGAGCTTTGAGACTGGAGGAGCTGCTGAAGAAGAACAGAACAGAACAGAACGTCACTTTCCTGGAGCCTGATCACATGTCTGCTTTTGGTCTGGTTTTGGTCTGGTTTTGGTCTGGTTCGGTCTGGTTTTGGTCTGGTTTGGTCTGGTTTTGGTCTGGTTTGGTCTGGTTTTGGTCTGGTTTGGTCTGGTTTTGGTCTGGTTTGGTCTGGTTTTGGTCTAGATGAGCTGCTGTGGGTCCAGATGTTTCTGCTCTATGAACAGTGGTAGAACAGGTGAGTGACTGGTTCAGTTTAGTTTTGACTGAAGTCACAGTTGTATTAAATATCTAATCTGAATCTTTCTAAGGTTCAAATGAGATCTTTCTAAGGTAGAGATTAGATAAACCAGTTTTTGTTCCATGTGGATAGGCCCAGGAATTATAGAGATATGAACTGTAAACCAGGTCAACACAATATGGGAGGACGGGAGGGCATCTGACATACATGGAGACACAGAGGGATGGGAGGGCATCTGACATACATGGAGACACAGAGGGATGGGAGGGCATCTGACATGCATGGAGACACAGAGGGATGGGAGGGCATCTGACATACATGGAGACACAGAGGGATGGGAGGGCATCTGACATACAGATACAGGTCATTGTGTTATGTAAATATTTAAGTGAGATTCTGGTGGTTTGTCAGGTTTATGTTTTATTCATGTTTTATAGATTTTCTGAAAAGCTGCACATTATTATTTATCCCAACATTCCTTAAAGAGCAGCTGGTTTGATCTGTTTGATCTGTAACACATCACTGATTTACATCACCATGTTTCCTTTAGTGTTTTAGAAGCAATATATTCTCCCAAAACAACATATACATGTTTGATGTGTTTCACTTTTGTTTTTGATGCTCTGAGTTCTCTCTCCCTTTGCTCCCTCACTCCCCCTTCAGAGCACTATCACCACACACTTCTTACACTGTCACTTTTGTACATTCTTACTGAATAGGCTCATGTCTCCACTGATCTGACCCGTGACTCAGTCTGGTGCTTTTCTCCACC